CGGTGTCGGCGCGAATACCCTTACAAGGGTATCTGCCCTGGTTTTTGCCGATGACAGGAGTAATGGGTTTGGTCAAAATGGGTCGTGTGAGGCGTGACTGCGTCCGGGACCCGCCTAGAGTAAGTTAGGAGGTATGTGGGCGCGCAGTTTTAAGGCGCGCGTGTGATTTTTCTGGTTGAGAGGGCGGACGGTCTAGTCGACCGACCCGGGCCGTATTTCGGATTTGGATAAGAGATAGAAAAAAGTTTGCTTGGCTGGTCCGCGCGACCGGCGGTAGGACTGGCGTACGGGACGGTGGTAGTGACGGCGAGGTTGGGGCCGCCGGCATAGATGTTGGGCCGCCGGCATAAATGTTGGGGACCATGGGGGCGAGTGCGGATGAGGAATGGCCCAAGGTGTGTTCTCGGCCCTGAGGGCCGCGCGATACCGCTTTATATAGGAGTTTGCGCTTGGGTGTTTCAGGCTTGGGCTCGGCCTTATAGGCTATGGCACTGGGCTATTGTTACGGAGGTGCGAGGATCAAGGCCAGCAGGCGTCGGCACGGGGATGATGGAGCGGTGAAGGGACCGAGGGGTTGGGGGTTCCGCCGGGCTATCCCCTTCGGTTTTGTCGGAGGAGCCGACAGCGGGCCCGCCCGGTAGAGCCAGGGGAACGCGAGTAGGCCCCCGCCTTGGTTCCGCTGTTCCACCCCAAATTACCTGTGTTTTTATTCTTTTCCTCTAAAACTTTTTGGCGGATTGTTAAGGGTGTGGGCTGTGCTCTGGGCCCAGGGGCAGACCTGAACGTTGCAGCTGGTTGGGCTTGATAGTATGCCCTGGCTGCACGCACCTGGATCCGGCCCGAGAAGAAGGCCAGATTCGTGCGAAGGGCACCGGCCAGGCGGGGCAGTTATTCGAAGGCCGAGAGGCCACGGGGCACTGCCCCGGTAAGAGGGTCCTTGGGGGCGCCCGAAAAAAATCAGAATGGTACGGGGAAGATTCGCGTGGCCGCTGGGCACGGAGGGCACGTATAAAGTCGGGGGCGGGTCCGACAGCAAAAGGTTTTTGGAAAGTTAGGTGCTGTCGGGCCGCACGGTGTGGGAAACCGGGTGACGACAACGGGAATGGGGGAGCCAGGCACGGTTGGTACGAGGAAGGCAAAGAGAAGGGCGGATCCGGACGGGATCCGGTGTAGGATGCATGCGTGGGCAAGGACGACACAGTGTTGAGGAGCGGAGCACTACAGGCGCGGCAAGAATGGGGTGAGTGAACCGGGACGTGGCCCTGCGCCAAGTGCTTTCGGGATTAGAGATGGCGGAGAAGGGGGTCGGGCGACAGTGCTAGGGAGTAACTAGGGGTCGTCGGGTAGAGGGAGCGATCACTAGGATAGCAAGCGCTGCGCTAGCATAGCGGACGACACTGCGGCAGGGCGACGGGCGCTGGGGGAGACAGCGGAGAAGAGAATGAACCTTGGCTGCTTGTCGCGCAAGGTGCATGCGCAGGTCGGCGGAGCTAGCAGCGGGGAAGTAGTGAGCTATGGCGAGGGGCAGGCAACTCCGCGCCTGTTTCTCGACGAAAACGGGCGAATAAAGGTTCGCTCCCAACATTTTGGGCCATGGCGAGTCGATTGGTAAAGTTAGTTTGGATGATTGGTTAGTAGAAAACGAGGTTAGTAGGGAAGTAGCTGCGCGGAGTGATGGCGGGAGGAGGAAAGGAGGGGAGCAAAATGGCGATAAATCGGTCACTTCTTGACCGTTTTCGGCGATCTAAGGTGCAAGACTGAGGTTTTCTGCCATGGCGAATTCGATGGCGAGCTCAGATTGAGAGCTAAGGGAGTAGATTTTATGCTGCTAATAACGAAAGTTGCGCTCAGGAACGGACTAGTAAAGAGTTGGTGTATCTAGACTTGCTTTTGATGTAGATTCATCCCCACCCTGACCAGTCCTATCTCTGTCTTTCCTTGAGTGGGCGTCGAGGTAATGCATACGTCCCGCTCGTGAAGGAAAGGTCACCTGTTACATGCTGAGAGCCTCCACACGGGCCCCTCACGGGACCCGAGGTTGGATAAGGGCCCCCAGGTCACGTCACCGCAAGCTGGAGGCCCTACGACCATTTTACTTAGGCCTGCATCGGAAAGACTTCAACTTTAAGTTGATTTCTTATTTATTTATTTACGGATGTGTTTTTACTAATGTGTTGTTGTCCGTTTTGTGGCCAGGTACACAGTTAGGACCAGGGCCGGAATTAGGCCCAGAGGCTGAGCCTCTAATTCAGTTTGGACCGTTACTCGTTTTCAGAAAGACGTTGGGACCTTTACTCGTTTTCG